GGTTGGCTGAGACTCAGACGCTAGGCCAGTTTGGACTGCAGGTGGGGACTGGTGAGGCTGGGGTCTCCGCAGACCTGTGGCAGCATCCACCTGGACCCGGAGGTCTTGGCTGCGGGGAGCTGTGGACAACAGAGGCCCAGGGAGGACACAGCACGTGTAGCCTGTTTGCAACCCCACATCTGGGATGGGGGTCATGAGTGAAGAGGAAGGGAAGAGTAAGAGGATAAATATTGCCGGATTCAGATCGCATCGAGGGCTGTCAATGTTCACAGCTAGGCACAATGCTGAGTACCTACCATGTGGTCTGTCAGACGTCACAAAATGGTTGCATGGGCTACATTTGACTCAGCTTTTCTTTTGGTGATTTAAAAAAGGGCAATATTTAAACATTACAAAACTTAACAGTTAGCATTGGGAGATTTCAAATGAAAATTTGTATCTGCAGGCGCTCTAGACTGAGGACAGAAAGCAGGCAGCACTTGACCCTGGCCCCACATGGCAGGAATGGCCTGGAGCTGAGTGGTCTCTTTAGATGGGGCATGCATGGTCCTCACTTGTGCTTTCTGACTTCTCTCAGCACAGGAATGTACCACTCTCAACGCTAAATGCTTTATGTATATTAACTAATTTAATTTGTACCCATGACCTAGTGATGCCGGTGTTATCCTTATTTTATACATGAGTGAACTGACACTCAGGGATGCTGAATGTCTTGACTGAGGTCACCCAAAGCTGGTAAGCAGCAGAGTTATACTTTGAATTCAGGGGTGTGAGAGTCTAACCCCAGTGCTCCTTCTCATAGACTATACTGCCTTTACTATGAATGGTCATGGCTGTTTGAGTAGAACTCAATTTCGTTCTTTTATTGTTACTTTTTAAAGTATGGAGTATTTTGAAGCTGTATGCATTAGCTTTCCATTGCTGTGGCAAATGACCACACCCATAATGGCTTCAAGCCTACGGGCTATTCTCTCACAGCTCTGTGAGGCAGGTCTGAAGGGCTGTGGCCCCTGGGGGCTGCTTGTCCCGCCTGCATTCTGTGGTTCCCGGCCCCGCCCTCCATCATCACGGGGTGCCTCAGTCCAACCTCTGCTCCCACCCTCCCCCTCCTGCCTTGACCCCAGGCCTTCTTCTCATAAGGGCCCTTTGATTGCACTGAAGCCCCCTGGATAGTCCTCCCATCTCAAAGAATAACCTTCCCATCTCAAAACCAGCCATCTTTTCCCCATGTAATCGGTTCACGGGCTTGGGGAGTGAGGGCGTGCATGTCTCTGAAGGGCTGCCATTCAGCCTACCACACCATACCAGCTGTGGGCACCTAACTTTGATCCATTTCCACATCAATAGTGTCACCTTACGGCATCATAAACTATTAGGTAAGTCATTTACATATCCTCTACTGGTACCAAAATGTTTGTTTAACAAAGCATTTAATGTAATATAAATGAAGCGGAAGCCTAAAGATATGCTTGTCATCAAAAGAGGACTTTAGAAAGTTATCTTTATTTGAATCCAAAATGTATTGCATTCTTCATTTCCATGGCAAATATAAATTAAACCATGCTCTGAAGAAGATAAGAGTTCTATAATCAGAAATGACATCTGCAGATACTGTGACATTGTCCCTGGATGTTTTGAAGCGAAGAACATAAAAATACCAAGCATATATAAGAGGCTATCTTTACACACTAATAATTTTGCTTTTTCAAAACAAAATGTCTTAAATATAATTGCTATTCCTGTTAAAGTCTTTGAAGACATGCTAAGTCTGCAGATTTAAATGAAACTGTTTTCTTCTTTCCCACTCAAATAGCAACTCTGTTAAATGAAGCTTCCACAAAGGAGTTTTTATTATCAGCTATGAAAATCTAAGCTTACAAATACACTGTGAAAGAAGCATAACAAGGGAAGAATAAACTTGTCATCTGAAAGATGTGATTCTTGGTTTCATGCCATTAACACTGCATTTTTACTTGAGAAGAATTATCGATGTGAAATCATCACTATTATAAAATAATTGCTGGCAAAACAGAATTGTAGTTTGAATTATCTTGATAATTCTGTGGGTTTTGTATATTTGTGGCTTTCCTCGGCTTGTGTATGTCTGAAGTTTACTGTAGATTGGTTCTCTTTTGCTGGGTACCTCCCCTTGTTAACCATATTTCGTTGTATGCAATGAAAATTCTTACACAATCTACAGAAGAAACTTCCTCTACTTTTTAAAAAAAAAGGTTAAATGTTTTTCAACTGTTGCTAAAAAATGTCAAGAGCACATTTTTTATTATATCCTCTTGGTGTGTATGAATCTTTGTGCTTGTGGAAATTTTCTATAAGTGAATTTCTGTCAGAAACGGAGCCTGATGTTATTAAATGTTTTCGTCTTCCAGTGAAACATCATACTAAATATTCCAAATCAGGTAATGTACCAATTGAATAGCAAGCTTTAGGTGTCGGTAGGAGGTAATATGAAACTGCTTTCATGTGGACAAACTTATTGCAGAATATGTACTTCTTTCTCAGGTAAGTATTGTAAATGCTGACACTTTGGGAGGTCTGTTCCGCTATCTGGGCTGAGACGAGAATGCAGAAAAGAGATAGTGGTAAGAACAGCTGATCTGTAAGAGGAACAGGTAAGTGTCCTGTACATTCCAATCTGAATAACAGAAACCTAACGCTGTTCTTCTAAGTAAGTAAATAGATAAAATCAAGAAAGCTAAAGTCTTCTCTGTTTTTAAAAAAACTTATATTGTTGAAAGTGGGTAAAGAGATCATAAAAATATAAATATAAACTAATTTAAGAAAAATAACCTATCTTTATGATATTATCCTCCCAACTGGGAACATGTTATTTTCCTCCAGTTACTCAGGTTTATTCCACATCTGTCTGGTATACTAAATTATTCTCTTCACATAGGTCCTTCGCTTTTCTCTGAAACAGGACCAGTCACGCATAACAAGAATGGGGCCATTTCCTCAGCTTTTGATTGTGGGGATACTTCTGCCAGGAATGTGTTTACTTACAAACTTTGTGATTTGCTTCTTTATTTACAATCTTGCTTTAAGTCTCATTTACTTCTTATTTCTTATTTTTCTCCTTAGAGATAGAAATTTAGGCTAGTTAAAACTCAATTTGCCTCAGTTCAAAAATTTGTTCTAATAAAAACAGGAAGTCATTAAAAATCATCAGATGCAGGCTTTGTCTAATAGATGAAAACCAACATTTACTCTGGTTTTATAACAATAATGTCATGTTTTTATACTGAACAAGAACACATTCTGTCCTGGTGCTCCTGCTATCATTTCTGTATTCCTTGTTCATGTGTAGTGTCCATGCTGGGAGAAGCAGAGGAGAGAAGGCCTAGAAAGGGCTGCACGCAGCTTGCACCAGGGCCTACATGGTCAGGTGGACGGAGTGCGATTCTGCCCCGAAGGCAGAGGGAAGCCCTGAAGGTTTCTGAGCAGGGACACGAGATCCAAATGGTGCTGAATGGACAGTAATCTGTGAACAGTATTTGGCTGGATGAAAGCGGGGAGCTGGGTGACTGGGTACTAGCCAGAAGAGGCTGCCTGGGAGACACACAGGTGTGAGTTACTAACAAGGAGGGTACTGGGACTGGAGAGGGGGCGGGGAGTTTGAGGGCCACTATGAGAGGACAGCTGGTGACTAATTTCCTTTACAGGATAACCTAAATAGAGGAATAAAACATGAGTGAGGCTTCCTGCTTGGGATACTGAGGAAATGATAGGACCAGGAATAGAAATAAATCAGGAGAGGGAAGCTTATCTGAAGGGGAAGATGAGGAGTCCGATTTTAGAAATGCTTTCTTTGGGATGGTAGCGGAACATACAGGTATGTATGTCAGTGGTTACTTGGAAAATACTAGACAGGGTCTTAAAAAAGGAGTTGGTTTGCTCTGCATTTGGAATCAGCAGTGTAGAAACAAGTGTGGCAGCCTTGGCAGTAGATGTGATTTCTAATGGAGAGCACTGAAAGGGAGAAGAGCAGAGGTATGGACACAGAACCTTTACACGTGCATAATTCACCTCTATTTTATTGTTTTTATAACCCTTATCTGAAATTATACTGTTCCCTGTGTGCTCAGGTTAACAGACTTGGCCCATATGGCTCACCTTTATATCTACAGCACGTAGACCAGTGCCTGGCACATGGTAAGTGATAAAAAAGCATCTAGTGCGGGGGGGTGGGGGATGGGAAAACAGTATGGAGGTTCCTTAAAAAAATTAAGAATAGAATTGCCATATGATCCAGCAATTCCTCTTCTGGGTATTTACTCAAAAAATATGAAAACACTAATTTGTAAAGATCTATGCATGCTTGTGTTCACTGCAGTATTATTTACAACAGCCAAGTCATGGAAATAACCTAAGTGACCACTGAGGGGTGGCTGGATGAAGAAGAGGTGGTACAACAGAATCCCGCTCAGCCATAAAAAGATGAAATACTGCCATTTGCAACAACACGGATGGATCTTGAGAGTATCATGCTAAGTGAAATAAGCCAAAAAGGACAAAAAACTGTATGATTTCATTCACGTGTGGAATATAAAACAAAAACTAACAAATTAACTAACAAAACAAACAAAAACAAACTCACAAAGACAACAGAATGGTGGTTACCAGAGAGGGGTGGGGCGGCAGGTTGGTGAACTGGGTAAAGGGGGTCAAATACATGGTGATGGAAGGAAATTAAACTGTGGGTGGTGAGCACACAGTGAATCACACGGTAATTGCATTATAATGTTGTACGCCTGAAATTAATATGTCATTAACCAGTGTAACCTCTATAAGTTTAATTTCAAAAAGTATCTATTGACTAAGTGACTGAATGGAGAAATAACATTTTTGTAAATATTCAGACCTTCATGTAGTCTCAAGTGTGACCCTGTATAACTTACCTGGTCAAGGTCAAGTGTTTGATCAGACAACACATTTCAGAGAAATAGGCATTTTAGTTGTTTTCTACAGATTTGGGTTCTGACCTTGTATTTTGGTGTGCGGCTCTTCCAATATGACTGGAGTCATCTTGGTTTTGAGAGATTTCATTCCACTTTTGTTTTCTACCTTTGAAAGATAAAATAGAGATTGTACATAATTAATTTACATAAAAATGAAGTTGAATGTAAAATGTAACCCAGTTTTCATCAAATTATCAAGACAACCATTAAAAGTGGTCCTGTGTTTCTGATAACACTGAAAATAAACACCCTCACACTTAAATGACAGCCTTGGCTCCACTGCTGGGTAGTCAGCCTTTCGGGCTGCGGATGTCCTCTGTGTCTGTCGGTGTGGCTGCTGCCTCGCCCTGCACACAGCCCTCCCAAGCCTGGTCCTCACAGCCCACACCTCCAGTGTGGGTCCTGGTCCAGGTATTTATGGCAGAACTTAAAATGATGGAGAGAAGGGAGCAGCCCTCTTCGATTTTCCCTCCGTGATTTCATTTGCCTCTCCCTCATCATTTGTCTGAATGTCTAAGCTTTCCTTGAAATGCAGGTGTGTCTCCCTGGACGTGGCCAGTGCATGCCTGAGGGTGTTCCTATGTGGACACAGCAAAACAAGACAGAAGGTTAGAACATGGAAATATGGGCTCCCAAGCAGCTCACAGTGCAGTAGGGGAACCAACACACACAAACGTAATGGCAACAAAGTGTTTTAGGTGATGAGACACTGTTTGCAGAGGACAGAGATGGGGCATAAAGGTGCAGTGGTCAATTCTACTAGAGCAGAAGGGGAGGGAAACACACTATTAAAAAGTGACTCGATTACACAAAGCAAGATGAGAGCTTGGTTTTCCAGATGAACAAGACACAGAAAATATTCCAGGCAAAGGATGCATGGCTAGGAAAAGCCCGAAGTGTGACTGTATATAGGAGATGGGAGGCTGCAGTAAAGGTGCTTGGAGGAGAGAGTGTGACAAGATGAGACTCGGGAAGCAGGCAGGGACGAGGACCCTGAGTGTCTTGTAAGCCTTCATGTGGAATTTGACTTTATTTATAGACACTGTATGTCAGAAACATTTTAAACTGGCAAGCCAATTAATCCGATGATTTCACTTAAGCCTCACAGTAACCATGTGTGTTAGGTAAGGCAGCTATTATTATTCTTATTGAATAGGAAGGTAAGTGGCTAGAAAGGTAGAGGCCCCTGAACGTATCATGCAGTAGTGATAAAGCCTTGTGATTTCAATCAACTACTTTGCCATCATGTTGTGATGTTATTCATAAACATTTCCATCATAGTCTTTATGTGTATACAGTGTAGATTCATGTGAATACTTATTCTGGAGTACGAGACAGGGTTTAGATTAGTCTGAGCCTGCATTCTTGATTTACTGGCTATTGACACATTTGAATTAGCTATGACATTTGGTTTGAGAATTAACTATTTAAATGATACTTAAAAAAAATACAATGTAAATTGATTTATTCATTCCTGGATATTTTCTCATACGACCCGAACCACCTAGTTGTATTTCAGAAGTATGTGTTTAAGCACCTAAAAGGTTATTTTCTGTGGGGGAAAATATGGTTTTAACTTTGTCATTTCTTTTTTTAGCTGAGCCCTCCTGCCACCTGTTGGCAGCTCAGTGGCTGCTCAGCTTGGGCTGGGACTCGAACCGCTATTGCTCAGAGCCCAAACGCTAGAGTGAGCTCTTAACCAACTGAGCCACTCGGCCGGCCCAACTTTCTGTCATTTTTAACATTTAGCATATTTGAAACTGGAAAAAAACAAACCTGTTTTTCCTTTACCACTTGTTATTGTAAAGAATAGAAGCAAATAATTCCCCAAATGCAACTTTTAAGATACAGTGTGAGGCCAGCAGACTTCATGATGAACGTCCATAAATTACGGCTGTCAGAATAGACGGGATAGTCCCCGAGTTGCTCCACCTGCATCTAGTTCAAGTACTTCTGCAGGACTCCTGCTTCTGAAGGAAAGATAGCTCTCGAGGAGCATCTGCTTCCTGCCTTCAAACACCCTTCATCCTGGGGGCAGAGTATTTGGAAAAGCTGATTCAACAGACACCCCTCTGTTCTGAAGCAGTACAGCCCAGTGGTTTAGTTCTCAGGTGCCGAGTTCAGGTCCAGACTCCACAATTGGTTAGTTGTGTCTCGGTACGAAATTATAGCAGGACCCGTGGTTATGCTGAGGACTCAATATAACAGTGCTTGGAAAAGGGACAGCACCTTGATTGGCACATTGTGATTGCTGTTAGCTATTATGTTCTCCAAGAGAATAATATGTTAGCTATTTTTGTGTGCTCTGGGGGAAAACAACCATGATAGGCAAGGCTTAAACATCACTGTAGTGACTTTCCCAAGAGTAACACAGCAAGGCTAGCTGCAAGGAAGTACCCAGGCTCAACATCTGTGCCATTTTATGAGTTTTTAACCTATAAATTTAAAAACTTTTATAGTGTGGGATTGTTTATTTTGACATAAGCATCAGAAAGAAGCCCAGGGCAGTCTCATGAAGCCATGCAAAAATTGTCAACGTTAACCCAGGATGGCACATTTCCTAGGGCCAGTGTGCTGGGTATTTACTGCACTCCAGGCTCACTGAAACTTGAACCGTTAGACCGTGTGTTCTAGTGGTCCTGACGCGTCCACCTGCTTGTGCCTGACAGCGTCCGTCCAGTTCTGTTAGACAGGAAAATAATTACTGCTCTGAGAACGCTCTGTAGCTCCTTTAGATAGGTCTAGTGAGTAATTCATAAAAATTGTCCTGTGGAGTTATAAGTGAAAATTCATCATCTGATTATCACTTTGGGCTTCTGTCATATAAACACAAATTATTAACAATAATGGTAATAATAATAATTGCCACTTGGGAAGTCCCTACTATGTGCTTTATCTATACTATCTCTATTTTGCATAACAAGACCACAAAGCAGGTATTCTCTTCATTTTATAGATGAGTAGATTTAGGATTGAGGAACAACGTTGTCTAGAGCAGGGTCCCTCCATTTTGACACTTTGACATTTTGAACTGGATAACTGGGTGTTGTGAAGGGCTGACCTGAACATTCCAGCGTGTTTAGCAAGCATCTCTAGTCTCTACCCAGTAAATGCCAGTAACATCCCTACCCGAGCTATGATGACCAAAAATATCTCCAAACACTGCCAAATGTCACAAGTGGCAAAACTGTTCCTTACTGACAACTCCTGGTCTAGAGAAAATGTTGTTAAATTGCAATTTATCAAGGCCAGGATGTTGGGCATTCTTTGCTGCAACTAAATCATTTAGCCAATTTACTACTCAAGAAATGACTTCATTTTGGATAATGGCAGAAGTGAAAACCAACTATGAGAAGTCTTACTTGGCCTTGCCAAATCCTAATATAGTCTTGAAGACATTTATGATTCTGTTTTAAAGCAAATGTATGAAGTATGCATAAAACAATGGGGATAAACCCCAAAGACAAACAGCACACGAACCAGGTGGTAGTGGTTAAAGCTGCGCAGCGATCTTAGGTATCTCGGGGTTCGCTCAGGTCCACCCCCAGACAAGAAATGCTGAGAATGGAGACTGGCTCGGGAAGGAACGTGGGCAGCATACCTGTGTCCTGGGCCGCTGGGACCAGCTGCGGTGACCTGGGCCTTGTGCACTCTCATCGTCCCCTTCTCCAGGCTGCACCTTGTTGAATTTCATTGTCAGTGATTTAAACATCTTCTCAGAGGTAGTTCCGAAAGCTTCTGTTTTTCTGACTCTGTGTTTTGAGATAGAGAAATGTACTTTGTTTTTCTTTTCATTAGTAGACAAGCCAATTAGTTGTTTAATCAGGATTTTGTTCTGGTTAATTCCTAGAGGCATCTCTTAGCTAGTCAGGGCTTTGGCTTAAGACCAGCAAATTACTTCTGCTTGGGCAATTTGAATTCTGTTTATGAACTCTGGAGTCAAAATGCGCCAGAGAATAATTTATAAGTGGAGGATTAAACAAAAGTTTATCACTGCTTTGAATTGTTTAAATGTGATCCCACTGCCCACTGGTTTGTTTATGTTTTCTTTCTAATTACTCGCCTACTAATTACTCACCTATTCCCATCTATCTAATTTTAATCAAATAACACACACAAACAATTAACAAATAAAACACGCATAAGGGCTTATAGCATAAAGCAGCAGTTTACCCCCCAATTCCCCATCTCTAGTCCTACAGCATGAGGTAACCACTCTCTCCTTTTTCTGTTCTGATGGTTCTTTTATTTTTATTAGGCATCAGTATTTTATTATTTGATTAGATTAATGGACTTCTTAGAAAATATAATGAAAAATGAGACATACTGCTTCCCATTCCTAGTAGCTTAAATGCCTACTTCAGATTGATTATAATGAGCACATTAAAATTAAACAAGAGGGTGTATTGGTTTGCTGGGGCGGCCATAACAACTACACAGACTGAAACACCGGAAATGTGTTTTCTCACCGTTCTGGAGGCTGGACGTCTGAGATGAAGGTGCCGGCAGCACTGGTTTCTCCTGAGGGCCGTGAGGGGAAGAACCGTTCCACACCTCTCTCCTTGGCTTAGAGGCGGCCACCTTCTCCCTGGGTCTCCTCACACTGTCTGCTCTCTGTTCATGTCTGTGTCCAAATTCCCCTCCTAATAAGGAACACATGTTATACTGGGTTAGGTTCTACCTCAGTGACCACAGAGTAACCTAATTATCTCTTTAAAGACCCAACCTCCAAATGTGGTCAGTTTCCAACGTACTGGGGGTTAGGACTTTGAAGGAATACAATACAGCCCAAAACAGAGACAGTGCGTTAGAAGGAAATTCTTTTTCTTAGAAGTTTATTATTTTCTTACAATCACTGAAATATCTCAAAAGCTATCCATGTGATTCTCAGTTTTATAAACCTGGATAATTCCATTGGATTATTAATTTCATAAATTATTTTTAAAAGTATGTATCTTACTCCAGCATGGATTTTTTTTTCTCTGATTCACCATGTGACCAATAAGGTCAAACTCTCTGCAGGAGGACACTACACCTAATTCTTTTACCCTGTAGTGCCTTTGTACAGAATAGAAACTCAAGCCTCAAGCCTTCTGCTAGCTAGAGTTTAACTGAAAGTCCTTTAAGAGACATGACAGCTCTAGTCCTTACTTATATGTCTCCTTTAATTCAGACTGAACTAATTAAATACATTTTAAATTTATGCAGTTTCCTCAGTACTTGGCACCACAATATGCTGCTTCATTCATTAACGTTTCCCTGCATTGTGTCTTCTCCCCAAGTAGATGGAAAGTTCTTTACTGTCAGAACCCTCTGCTGGGCCACGTCTCCTAGCATCATTTTATCATCTAATTCAGTATCCTCTCATTTCACTTGTACCATTTTAACCAGATATGTAGAATATTAATTTCTTTCACAATCTGACTGTTAACCAATCACTTTATGAAAAACTAAAGAAAATTGTAAAAGGGCGAAATCACTGAAGTCTACGTCAGAGGTCTACGGGATTCCAGTGACAAGCTCATCCTTTTCCTTTCAGAAGCCCAAGGTCAAGACAGAGAGGTGTGGAGGCAGGTGACTCACGTTCCCGAGTCGTGGGACTCATCTCCACCCTGGTACGGGATGCAAGGACACCCCAAGGTGAGGCCTTCATGGCATTCTGACTATTAAGGTGCAGACAGTGATCACACATGGAGGGCCATACTTTAGCTCTCCATGCCACCCAACAGTGGCACTAAGATCACTGGATGGTGACTTTTCATCACAAACTAAGTTATTTCTCACAGCCCACCTCTTGGTACACGAGGTCTAGAAATACAAATAACTGCAGACAATCAATTCTTATCTTCAATAGATTTTTCTTCCGAAACATCTCAAAGACCCAAGTGGGCAGTCAGGATTCAGTGTCCTTCAACAATACAAAACATAAATACATATATTTGAAGTTAGGATAGAAACGTCAAAGCCAAGTCATAAGGAAGGTTTAACGGCAAGCTTGCACCTAATTCTGTCTTTTCCTGGGACCCTCAGAGGAATACATGTCTCATCAGGCCCCCTTCTAAATCTGCTGATAGTATTTACAAGTGGGAAGATACCACGGAATCTCTATGGATTGTATTTAACAGGATATTTCTGACCTGTCTGATTGCTTACTGCAAATAAACCTGGAATGTATGAATCTATGTGGCATGGCTGGCTGCAGATTGGGGAGCGGGGTAGTCTGTAAGCTTTGTAAGGCAGTATAAGGGAGATGTCCTCAAACAGAGCCATCTTCCTTTCGTGAGAAATGTTTCTGCGTATAATGCTCAAAATCTCTTTCTAACTCTGAAGCCAAAATGTGTCTGAATGCTGTCTTATGGTTTTGTGTTTTTCCCAAAGAGAATGTTTTGTCTCTGTTGATGATGTCCTTTATCCACTGAAATAGTAATGAAGTTTGGTGCTAGGTAAGTTCTATAATTTTGGGAAGTCTGTTTTGACAACTCAATCCTTAGGATTATCACAGGTCAAAAGAAAAGTGACATAGATTCAAGTATCTTTAGAAATGATTTAAAATACCTCCACAAATTTTATTTTTGCCAACAGATTGGTAATAACACAGGCTTTAAAATTACAGATGAATATTTTCACTTTGTCTAGGTCAGGGGTCTCAAAGTTCAGAAAAAGGACAACTGGACAAAACGCGAACAAGAGACATGAATTTTGGCTCATTCTTTTCCACTGAGTGCGCGTGTGAGCTAAGTCGAGTCTTTTGCTTTAACATGGAGATGGCAGGGTTGAGCAAAATCATACTGAAATTTCCTTCTAACTTTACATTCTATGATTGTGTGTTCTGCAGAAGACCAGGGAAGGAAGAGGGTCGCTTCTTCTGGGCGAGGTGACTACTGGAACCTCACCACAGCACCCTAAGTTTTTTGTACAAAGCTCCACACTGCTGCAGCAGTGTCTGCCAAGGTGAATAAAAGCAATTGTTCTTTACCATAAATCTGATCGTGTGTCGAACTGACATCCTCAGTGACTCCACGTGCCTTAGGGCGTAACGTCCAAACTCCTAACCATCACATTGTGGGCCCTTTACTGCCGACCTACTTTCCCCTGTACCCTCTCCTCCTTCCCGCTCTCAGCTCCCGCCATAATAAATTATTGACAGTAACCTCAATTCCTCTGGCTTTTCTTACGTCTATGTATGTAGTTGCTCCTATGTGCCGTTCCTCTGCCTGAAATGCTGTTCCACTCCGGTCTATCTAGCTCAAGCGGGCATTCCTTTCTCCTGCCTTTTTTTCTTCTCTCCTTTCAACAGGCGAATACAGAATCCCTTGTTGGTTGTTCCTGCTGCACCTTACGCCATGCACGCACCTACTCTTTGTCACGTCTTATTCTCCCATCACTTCCAGGTCTGTCTTTCAAGCCAAGCGTGAGCTCCTTCAGGCTGCGGCTGTGGTGTGGCCACCTTCACACCGCTTGTGCCTGGCCCAGCGCTGCTGGCACATTCTAGGTGCCCCATGAATGTGAACACATGATGAGAGGATGATGGTTTAGCCCAGGGGTTGGCAACCCGCGGCCCGCGAGCCACATGTGGCTCGTGAGCCACATGCGGCTCTTTGGGGACGTACATGTGGCTCTGAAGGAAAATTGAAAATGAAACTATCATAGTTTCATTTATAAAAATTTTAAAGGATATTATTCACGTAATGGTGATTTCATTTGTTTTATGGCTCTCAAATAATTTTTAAATTGTTGTGAGGGGCATGATTGGCTCTTCCATCTCAAAAGTTTGCTGACCCCTGGTTTAGACCATCTCTTAGCTCTGTAGTGAAGATAAAGAGGTTCCCTGTGGCAGAGGCAGAATGCAAAGAGAACCAGAGCGGACGTCTCTGAAGGAACAGCGGTGTGTGGCCTCATTTCCTTTAATCAGTAGTCACCGTATGTGAGGCTGTGTCTTAGGCTGCGGGTGGGGCGGGCTAACAGGAGTATCATGAAATAATGGTGTATTTCACAAATGGTGCTTTAGATTCTATGGCTACAGCTTATAAATGGCACACAGCAGTACTTATATTTAACAGTAACTCTAAATGTTGTGTCATTCTGCATCTATATGGTGTATGTATTATACACACACAGATGGTAATAAAGCCATACTAAAATAAAGAGCATCAGTAGCAAATGGAACCATATTCTTGTTAAGACTAGAAATTTAGTTTCAGCATAGCATTATCCATTATGTCAATGTTGCTTGCTTTAATCTGACTGATTTTTAAGTTTTATATTATGTTTACAGATAGAGATTAGCTTTATAGTTCTATAAAAGATACAAGTAAGGTGGAGTTTATATCTAGTTTCAGGTTTGAACATATTCGCATGTTATTCCTATAAAATTATTCAAATCAATGCTGGAGGGTCCATCATAAAGTTTCTACTTAATAGGAGTGAAGTCTGAGACGTGCTACCTTTCTTTGAAGGAATCTTTAGTGATGGGATTTCCAACATTTTCGTTGCTGGGAGATTTTGGATGGGGAGAATGTTCTGGTAGTTCTCCAATCATGGTTTCCTCTGGTTCTGGGAGGGGATGCAAGCTGGAGCATTCTTTTTTTTCTGCTAGACTACTGGAGGAAGCAAACTCCAAAACCAACTACTGTGATGTTTTCCCCTATGTCTGCTAAAGAAAGCAACATTTAGAAAATTCTCTGAGATCCCTTGAAATTAAATTAAAATAGTCTAAATATTATTTCAATAGGAGAAGAGTAACCATTGAGCTATAAAGGGAACTAATAGTAGGTAACCTCAAACAATAACTTGAATAGAAACAATCAGAAGTTTCTCCCCCCAGGTTTTGGGGGAAGTCCTATTTTTAGGAGAAGATAAAAAACTGATAGTAAGCCTGAACACCAGTTACGTCCTGAAAAATTTACTGTACTGAATAGTTATATTCAGTAAGGCAGAAAACTAGATAAATTATGAGCATTTTTTCAATTATAATACTTGAGAGGAGAGAGCACTGGGCATATTGTCAGGGTACCCGTGAACCTAGTTTTGGCATTCGTCTATAAAATAGGAGAAAGAATAACAAGCTCTTAAGGATGTGGGGAAGGTTATATAAGCTAATGAATATGATGACATATAAAAAGTATCTGGTATAAGTTAAGTTCTCAACAAATATGTGTTAATTAAATGAATAAAACAAATTGTGTTTCTGAAGAGCACTGCAAGTTAAAATACTCTGCTTACTAAAGTATATAACTGTATTACACAGTAAACACTTGAGTTTTTACTGTGTTTTAGGTGCTTTGCTAGTTGTTGTGAGGAATACAGAGATGACCATCACATGCCTAGTGACACACTCAAGATTCTTAAGAGAGAGACAGAGAAGAAGCATGAACAATTACAATTTAACTTCTAGAAGGGAAGCATGTAAGTACCGTGACATTAGCATGGAGGAGCAGGAGGCTGAGTCTACCTAGACATCAGAGGCCAGTAAGACGGAGGAGGGCCAAGCTTTGCCGAGCAGGTAATGCTCACCACAGACAGGTTTGAAGGAGA